CTAAATGACTTTGCAAAGCATCTTTTAACATAATTTCCAAAACTTTTCCCACAACTGATGTAAGACTAATGGGTCTGTAATTACTGGGACAATTTTTATTACCTCCCTTGAAGAGAGGAGCTAACTTCCAATCCTTTGGTACCTAACCACTATTCAAGGACTGACAAAAAAATAGTAGTAAGTGGCTCACATATCCAATCTTTAACCTCTTTCAAAACCCTTGGGGAAATATTATCTGACCCAGGAGCCTTATTGCTTTTTAAACTTCCCAATTGTTTCTTAACCAGATCAGAATTAATGATCTTGTTTGATCTCGTTTCCATTTATCAACTGTTCAAGATGTGGAATACTGCTTAAATCTTCGTCAGTAAAAACCAAAGAAAAAGCAAAATTTGATAACCCAGCCATCTCATAATCATCAGATACAAGCCTCCATTTATCATCCCTCAAGGGTCCTACCCCCATCCTAACATTTTGTTTACCCTTAATGTATTGAAAGAAATCCTTACTGTTAATTTTTACATTTTCAGCCAAACCTTTCTCATACATCCTTTTTGATGTCCTAATTTTCTGTTTCACCAACTTTCTTGATTTTCTATAATCTTCTAAGTCTCCTGTCATACCAATCAATTTAAATTGATGATGCTTTTCTTTAATTTTATCTCAAACTTTTTGTGAGCCAACCTGGTTTTTTACTTGTAGCTACCATTTTCTTTCTATAAGGAATACGTTTACCTTGAATATTTAAAAATTTATATTTAAAATTTTCCACATCTGATCAGTGTTTCCAAATAACTCAGCTGCCCAATTCACATCAGATAACTCATGTTATAATTATACTTATCTCCACATGCAGCAAAACATTGAACCTAATAGAGAAATGATCACTTGCACCCAGATGTTCCTCAATTTCCACCCTCTCAATCATTTCTATATTTGAAGTTAACAACAAGTCTAAAATAGCATCTAGTTGGTTTCTTGATTAACTGGTGAAGAAAGCTATACTGAACAGTTTCCAAAACCTTTCTCCCTCATGGTTTGACTGTAGCATTTACTAACCTATATGCTTGAAATTAAAATCTCATACAATTATGACTTCATTAACAACTGAAATCTTAATCTCATTGT